GGCGAGGGTTAAATCTGGCTTAACCCTCGCCGGCCGAGGGGGGGGGGGGCGGGTGCCCCACCCCCTAGGGTTTTTTCGCGATAGCTCCGAACACGCTGGCGATAGAGAGCTGAAGCGTGACATATCTGAACTTTGATTCAAGCCGGATATCTTTTGACAGTGTCAAATTGACACCAACCGCATTTTCGAGTCAGGTCAGGTCACTGACCTATAACGTCATAAATGAACCTCTGCACGGTCTTCAGATGCCGCAACTTCGCAACTCCCTCACTGCCAGAGGAGCTTTCACAGGGAAATGAAACTTGTAGTAGGATCTACTACAAGTTTCATTACGAGTCTCACAGCTTGTATATCTCGGATTTTCGTAAAAGTCATATGAGGTTAGGTCATTTTCGTGACCTCACCATTATAAGTCAATGGGGAAATAAAAACTGCTATTCTGACGCCGGGAACGATCTCCAACTATCTCAACCACACATAATCATGATTTCATGTACTCCTTGGGGCATTCCACGTCAAGTGAGACAAAAAATGGCCATTTTGAACCTCACCTCCTCCGATTTTTGCGAAACTTTGTGAAACTACTCATCTATATGTGAAAAGAAAGGAGACATGTTTTTGTCAAGATATGACGTCACGTTTCCGAGATACACGTCATCAAACATTGACCTAGGCAAGGCACATTATCATCTTTAAAGCGTCATAACCATTGAAGTTTTAGACATATCACCATGAGACAAAGTGTGAAATGGAGGGAATAGATCAGGCTTTAATTTGAGGATAACAATATTGACATAATTAGCTAATTAATGAACTAAATTAAAATTAAAAAAATAAATTTTGATTTTCTGAAAAATGGGTACCCTTCGATTTTGCTGATTTTTACATATTTCATCCTCCCATACATTAGCTACATCATATAAAAAATCCAGAATGGGCCGACGTCTACGTAACTGCCTTTTGGACTTCGGAATGTCTGGCACTCGCGAGTTTCGTTTTAGCAACCAAGGAATGGCGCTACCCGGAGATGCTTCTTTCTGCCCCAAACCAAAGCAAACCTAGCCTGACCTGACGTGACCTGACCTAATCTAACATGCGTAAATATGTACAGCCCTCACGGCAGTTGCCGACTGGCCAAATGCTACTTAGATACGAACATTAGCCCTCACGACATTTGCCGGCTGGCCAGATGCTACTTAAAAAACGAATGCGTGTTTAAACACTTGAGGCTAACCGGCCACGAGCCAGCCACCTTTAGATTACGAGGTGGGTACACTCGGCACACTAACTACTAAGCCACGGAGATAGCTGGTCATCGCGGAGATGTAAGCCAGTTTTTTTTAAATGATGCAATTGGGCATTCTCCGGGCAGCGCCTCTCTTTGGTTGCAAAAAGGAAATACGCCTGACTCTCCCAGCGCTAGGGGAGAAAGGCCCGGTTTAGCCAAAAAAGGTATAAAAAAACGGAATTTGAATTGTAGGTGGGGCGGTGGGGAACTTTATCGTGTGCCAATTTCATGGCCCTAGATCAATATCTTCAAGATCAAATGAGGTTAATCGTGATGAAATTTGCTATGGTGACTATTTTGCGTTTATACGCCCATAGCTCTATGAGTTACAGGCTGATTTTCCTATTTCTTCCTTTTTACGACATTTGTAGTGTTATGAGAATCTTTAGATAATCTAACCATAAATTTGGCAGTTAGTGGCCTGCTAAGAGTAAGATGTCGCCGGCAAAGGCGCGGGGATCGGCCGACGCGGGAAACGTTTCAGTCACAGATTGTGTTTGCACCCTAATAATTCAATTTTTACCAGTTGGTTTTCGTATTTATATGACCATTAGTTTGCCTGTACATTTTTAAGCCTTCACACAAAATTTGACACGAATCGATCATAATCAGCGGTAAGAAGCGCAGTGCAAAGATGGAACCGTCCGGCGCCGGCACAGTCTACCATTCAGGCGGCAACGGCCGCCGCCGGCCGCCGCGCCGCTCCGGCAAGATGTTTGACTTAACACCGCTATTACTAGAAAAGTTGTGGACCGATTTACCTATTGCTTGCACAGGAGGATTTGCAATTCAATTCTGGACAGATGCTGAAAGTTTGACGTTAATATAATAGTTATGGCGTGAGTTATTGGCGAAAAACAGGTGGGGTTGGCGAAATCCGCCCCTTCCATCGCCCGTGCTACGTTGCACTACTTGTTGCTATATCATCCAAAGTTATTGTTGGCCCACTCTAATTTTCTCAGCACGTATGCCTTACGTGTGGTGGAAGATAATGTCCAAATTTGAGCAAAATCGAAGGGTACACATTTTTCACAAATTAGATTTTAAGAAATTAATTCAAAATAAAATAAATTCAAAATCACCAAAAAATGTTAAAATTACCAAATTTAACTAGCATAGCTCCTCGTGTTCACGTTTCCGTTTGATTGAAATTAATAGCTTCAAAAATGTTGAAGCTATAGATCTTTCAAAATTGCAATACACGTCCAATTCTGCTAAAAAAGCAGAAGTTTAGCGGCTTGTATCTCTGTAGCCCGAGGGCATATGACAAAATCCTTTGACCCTCAGAGGTTTCACCCAATAGCCAACAAGTATACCAAGTTTGAACAAAATCGCAGAGGTGGCCGATTTTGGCTGTCCCGGTTGACATGGAATGCCCCCCTTGCAAGGTTAGATGCGTCACTTTTGCAATTTTGACCTTGCGTGACGTCATTTATGACGTCATCAAGGTCATATTAGTTTTTCGTCAATAACTCCCGATCAAATTGAGCTAGCGAGTCGGGGAAGCCACCAATGAACTCGGCAAGACCTTCCGAATCAATTGATATGCAACATGACCTCCTTCGACTAACTTCGTGACCTGGGGGCGCTGACCTGGCCGTGACCTGAGGTCAACACCCAAAGTTGACCTCACCCAAACAAAAAGTTTATCATTCGACGCGCCTGAGCTAGGCAAACACGATGCTGCCAAAATCGCGGCTCTGCTGCAGTTTTTTTTTTTTGCGAAGTTATTCACCAAAAACTGAACCGTATTTTGGGGCACTTGACCTGACCTCAGAGGTCACCGGTTGACCTAGGACCTTAAAATTGGCATCAATCTCTGCGTCTCGTTACGGCGCACACGCTCGTTTTTTCCGCGACGCGCTAGCTCCACCAGGAGCGAAATGGCGAGGGGGTCGTACTCGCCTCCCCCCCCCCCCCTCGGCCGGCGCGTATGTAGAAAACCAATAGGTCCGGCGAGGGTTAACCCGCGCATGACTGGGGGTCCTACAGAGCCCCCTTCGGTTTTTCGGCAATATCTTTTAAACCATTCGATGGATTAATACAAAACTAATGGTACCTTCAGCGTCATCAATCTGACGGCGTGTCGTTAAAGTTCAACCTTCTAGCAACCATCGTTTGGCCAACAATGACGTCAGAGTGACATCATGTCGGCTGATTTTGATGCAAAATATTGAATTACGGCAAACACTCTCAAGAGCTCAGATTTAAAGCTAGATCCAATTTCTTTGCATGAGTGAACTACAAATACACGTAGCTATCAAATTGCTATCTCGAGTTTTCGAAACTTTGAAACTTTCGAAAAATATGTATTTACAATTACAAAATTATATTTTTGTTTTGTTAAAAAAAAGATTTGCAAAAACCGTAATATATGTGATAGAACACACACCGATGAATTACTCTTGCAAGTTTCAGCCCAATATCTTCAAAAATAGCCAAGTAATTGGCATTATTGTCAATATTTTACAATTAAGTATATTTTTTCAAAACAATTTCTTCCTACGTTTTTGACATCGTACAGCAATATAAATAGCACCACCGTGTTCCTGAGCTCGACTGCGTCTGATAGGCACCATTTTTGTTGAGAAAGTTCATTTTAAAAAATGACTTTTTCTAACCTGAAAGTGACCTGACCTCCGGTATATTCAGCTGAAAATGACCTCAAATGACACAGACGGCATTGATTCCGAAATTTGTGAGTAAAATGGACCACACAACATGCGTCACGTAACCGACAAATGATATGCAATTTTCGTGACCTAGGATGACCTGGCCTTGACCTGAAAAAAAAAATTCGAAGTAAAAGTTCGGTACCCTCCGGGTATCTAAGGCATATAGCAAGGAGTGTGTAAACCCAAAATGAGCCCGATCGGACTTGTCAGCCGGCGGCCGGAGCCTAAATTGTAAACAAGCAAAAATGCCGATAGTTTTTACTTTGACCTGACCTGCGACGTCATCGGTGACCTCGAGGTCAATGAAAATAGGTTTCGATCGACAGTTTTTTCCAGGGCTTTCAGACGCCGCTTGAATTTTGACGATCGGCCCAATAGTTTCGGAGATAGGAGGGGGGTGGGGCTCTGGAGAGCTTCCTCCCCTCAGTCACTCACGTTATGGAAAATACCCTAGTCATGCACGGGTTAAGAACTGGGCTTAGGAGAGTGAATTCCGTAGTTCAATGTTAAGATGGCAGAAAATGGGACGGCCGGTAGCATTGAGTGACCCCGGACATGTAACAAAAGTTTATTTCGTCTGACGTGGGACGGATCGTAAAGCTCCACTTTCGTGTCAAAGAGTTCACCCATTTGGACGCTGAGCAAGAAAAACACGTCGAGAACCAGGCTTGGTCAACCGTTTTAGTAGCCCACAGTTATCTTAGGAGCCCTTGTAACGAACTATCGATTGCTACCTATCGCGTTGACCAGTTTTCCATATCCTTCCTGAACTCTAGTTTCGGTTGGGTGAATATTTGTGCTTGATAGTATGCAGTTAATTCGTTATTTCGTCGTCGCTCATCTTTTTAGTCTCGAATTTCAATCCGCCTCCATGTCGCTGCGTTTTCCAGCTCTGCATCGAGTTATGAGGCGGGCTAAAGGCGGCAGCATTTTAGGAGAAGCGGAGTGTCTCCCCTTTTTACCGGTCCCAGATATGATGATCCACCCTTGCCCCTTCTTCCCTTTCCGATAGCACTAGCAACATTGCAAAATGGGATGCCCTGGCTGCGCCGGTGCCGACAATCCGAAAGTAAAAGGGCGCCGCGAGATATACCAAGATGGCGGCCGGTACATAAGGAGGGCGGCCGGCCGGCGCTGCCTAGTCTGTCGCCACCATGCGAGCCGCCGCGTTCATCCTGGTTCTGTTGGCCTGCGCTGCCGGTAAGTGAGGCCGCGCCGCCAGCAGCCGACCCGAATTCGCGCCGGCGCCGGAGCGAGCGGAGCCGGCAGCGAGGCCGCGAGGTCGGCGGACGCTGGGCCATCTGGGTCACTGAGGCCAGCGGCCAGCTGACCGGCCAGCCGCCAGCTCGCGTCGCTGCGGCGCCGCCGTGACCTGTGCGCCACGTGTCAGTGACCTCCGGTGACACCACGGGTGGCCACATCGTGTGCTATAGTGAGGGGTGGTGGTGTGAAGCAGCAGCTCGGCGAGACACGCGATGTTTCGGCCGTCGAGCGACTTACTCGTGTCAGATGTATGAATCAATTTTACTTCAAACGGTTGATGTGCTCTTTTTTATATTCATGAAATGATTATATTTCGTAGTAGTAGCTCATGTATTTTATTTCATATTGTCAAACCCATGATTCAAGTGTATAAAAAGTTTAATGCTTTAATTATTGCTTCGAAATTTTGCAAAAAAATTACAAAAGTTACAGAATACTTATTGCTTATTTACAGGCAGATAAAAATGAGTCATAAGATCTCGTATTATTGAAATGAAATTTGCACAAAAGTCGTCCAGCGTCTCAAGGCTTCAGCACGTGTAATATTTTCTGAATATGTGGCCATTCGTTTCCGAACGCCAGCTTTGAGTAAAAAATGATAAAAATGAAATAAATGAAACGATAATAATGTCATGAATGTGCTGTGTTTCATAAATATAATTAATTTTATATACTTGCTTAACTGATTATCTATTCATGATTATACATGGAATATTGATTTATATGCGACAGATGCACTCACAAGCACTTCATGCTTTGAAGCACATACACTTCAATACACTTCATTGAAATCGTTCGATGAACTTCGTTGATTGCCATATGAACGTCAAATCATTGAGTGTGCCAGTATGATACAACAATGCTGCTGTGGATCTATTACCCACTTTCATTATAACTGATCGAATATCAATATCTTTCCTTTGCCTCGCTGCGTCTTGCCTTTGCTACTATTCAAAATTATTCTCGCAGTTTTGAGTAGTGAAAATGTTAGTCAGTAAACGGTCAGACGTGACAATGACCCTTTCAGTTATTGAATTATCCTTAGTCCATTATATAATGCAATAAACATCAAATATATCAAGAATATATGGACATATTGATGCTTATTTTGTGAAACATATAGCGCATTTATATAAAAGCATACAAATTAAAAATAGCATTATATTGTCATGTTTTCAATGCTACGAGACTAACGTCACAACTCTTACCCTAATGATTTCCATGTTTCCAAATTCTTTATTTCTTTCTTATATTTCTTATATTATTATATACATCATCCACAATTTGTTCATTCGACCTTCAAAGTTATTCCTTCGCCCTATTTCGAAACTCCGTCAAAACAGCCACACATCAGTATTCACTACAATCTCGTCAGCACTCAGCAGCCTACCCGGATTTCCTTTCCCGACTTTTTTGATAATCGTGTGAGCCGGCTGCAACACGTCACTCCTCTGAGATAAGCCGCGGCACCGGTGGCCCCATCGTAGTCCGATCTGCTGCCCCGCCTTTGTTCGAGCTCTCGCTCCCCTCCCCTGCCCGTCTGGGGGTGGCGGCACCCTGACCTGACCGGACGCTTTCTCTCGCCAGCGCAAGCCGAGCGTGTTAAGCGCCAGGCTGAGCAGCCTTCTGAGGAGGAGACGCTCAAGAAGCTCTGCGCCGGCAAGGGACCCGGAGAGTGGTTCCGACTGAACGCTGGCCAGGAGCACTGCAAGCGGGTCGTCCAGTGCACTTCGGCGGTGAGTAGAGTAGCGTAGAGGACGGCCCTGGGTCACGGTGGAGCCCGCGCCGCCGCCCGTCGGCCAGTAAAAGTGGTCGGTGGCTGGCGCCGCGGCGGCGCGCCGGGGCGAAAGGTGCCGGGCGGGGGAGCAGTGGCCGACGGGGCGGGGGTGAGCGGGGCGCGCCGGCGCCGGAGCTGGCTCTGCCCGCTCGAAAGCGACCGGGCTGGCCAGCTTAAGCTGTGCCGAGCAGAATGTCCCGGCTTAACAAAGGCGGATGCAAGTCGCCAGAGAAAGTTCCCAAGATTACCTAACATCGGCGAACTTTGAATAATTTCATTTTCAATTAGACGAGCATTATCTTCGCAACAATCTCCTGTAAATTTGGGTAATTTCGTTACAAACGTTCCTAAGCTCTTACTAAATGTGCAAATATTCAATTCCGACAGGGTCAGTTCCGTTGCTTCATAGCCTCAAATCAATTCAGAAATAATGTCAGCATTTGAAATACGATAATGCGTTTAATGGCATCCGGACATCACTCTTTGACATGATGATAGATAAAACGAGATCTCGAACATCGATGGCAAGTTTCAACGAGCAGAGATGTGCAATCATCATCCAACGAGTGAAGGTTCTCGCTCTCACGGCACCTTTTTCATGTTTACAGGGTCTCCAGCAGATCAAGTGCCCTCAGGGTCTCGTCTTTGACGTCGAGAATCAGTCATGTGACTGGAAGGACAACGTGTTCAATTGCGACCAGACGGCCCGCGAGGTGAAGGCCAAGCCTCTGCTGAACACTGACGAGCCCATCTGCACGGTGGCCGGCGAACTGGCCTGCGCTGACGCCTCCTGCATCAAGAAGGAGCTCTTCTGCGACGGCATCGAGCAGTGCAGCGATGGATCCGACGAGAACGCTTGCGGTGAGTTACGCCTTTGATGTAGAGATAGATGATTGGTTTTCTTATCATGAATCGTCATGCAGTTAATGTAAGACTGCCTATTTCATTCCTTGTCTTGAATTGTTTATGTTATAGTGAGTTAGTTTCCTGCCACTTGAATGTAGAACACGTGCAATCGTCCGCAGAATGTGAGAATGACAAGTGACTGTGCGCGTTACAGATAACGGCAACGATCCCAACCGGGCACCGCCGTGCGACTCGGAGAAGTGCAAGCTGCCGTCTTGCTTCTGCTCTGAGGACGGCACCACGGTTCCGGGCAACCTCGACCCGCGTGACATCCCGCAGATGGTCGTGCTCACCTTCAACGGAGCCATCAATAACAACAACATCGACCTCTTCGACGAGATCTTCCAGAGCGGCCGCACCAACCCCAACGGCTGCCCCATCAAGGGAACCTTCTTTGTGTCTCACAGGTACACCAACTACACCGCGGTCCAGGACCTGCACGCGCGGGGTCACGAGGTCGCCGTCTTCTCCATCTCTCAGAATGACACCAGGAACTACTGGAAGAACGCCAGCCGCGCTGACTGGGCCAAGGAGATGGGTGGACAGAGGTTCATCATCGAGAAGTTCGCCGGTATCAACGACAACTCGGTGGTCGGCATGCGTACCCCGTTCCTGCGTATCGGTGGCAACAACCAGTTCTTCATGATGGACAAGCAGAAGTTCCTGTACGACTCCACCATCACTGCTCCGCTGAGCGACATCCCGATCTGGCCGTACACCCTGCTGAACCAGATGCCGCACGCCTGCCACGGTGACGCCCAGAAGTGTCCGACTCGCGCCTTCCCCGTCTGGGAGATGGTCATGAACGAGCTGGATCGTCGTGACGACCCCAGCGTGGACGACAACCTGCCCGGATGCATCATGGTCGACTCTTGCTCCAACATCCGCACCACTGAGCAGTTCTACAACTTCCTCAACCACAACTTCGATCGTCACTACCTGACCAACCGCGCGCCCATCAGCCTCAACTTCCAGCAGTCTGCCTGGCTGAAGCAGAACGAGTTCCTCGACACCCTGATGTACTGGATCGACGAGATCCGGCAGACGTTCCCTGAGACCTACTTCGTCACCATGACCCAGGTCATCGAATGGATGCAGAACCCCCGGACCCTGGCCGAGACCCAGGCCTTCGACTCCTGGCAGATCAAGTGCGAGGAGCCCCTTCCCTTCGTCTGCTCCAAGCCGGGCGGCAACAACTGCGCTCTGCATGTGGACGAGGTTCCGGGCACTTTCAACATGCAGACCTGCCAGCGGTGCCCGACCAACCTGCCCTGGTTGTCGGACCCCACTGGTGAGGGCTTCCTGTAAACGCTGCACAGGCTGCGCCGTGAAGTGGAGCGCTCTTCGACGACAGTCGGCAGGCGGGCGAGGTACTTTGTTGTAGCGGCCGCGCCTGTCGCACCTTCCGTTCGCGGGACGTTGTTACTGTGTCCCGGAACGGGACGTTTCCAGTCGTTTCGCCGAGCCGCAGCTCCGTCAGGAGATCGTCACTCGGTCTTCTGGCCAGTCCCTTTACGTGCCGGACTTTGTTGACATATTGTTGCCGAGTACAAAAGTGCAGCGAAGAGCGAGATCTGTTTTACCTTATTTGGCAACGCTGTAGCCCCACTCAGCTGTGATCGCGAACACGTGATTCCTTATCCATATCTTGTATATATGCGAATGGTGTGTGTTGACATCATGCAATAAAGGAGTCGTCAGTTCAGAATGCGTTGTTTACTCGGCGTTTAGTGAAAAACGACAGTTTTGCCGCAAATCAGAACATCCAAGACCATCATCACCACATGATCACTGAAATGATGTCAACATGAACTAACACTTCCAAACAGAACACTGAACAGTCACCCAGTCTGATGCCTTACCCCTGTAGGTCATAACTGCATAAGGTAAAATCTTCCATTTAAAGCAATCACGATACATCAGATCTTCTTATCTGCCTTCAAGTTCTGAGGATCCCAGCAGAATTATTATCATCTATACGCCCTCTTTACGCTAATGCTCTACTTAACGAAAGCAATTACATGGGTATTGCAAACATAGCCACATATTCTATATTATCCTCCGCGGCGAAGCTGCGCCACCCTGCGGATGTATTTTTTTATTGATGGAGTCTCGAGTAAACTCAGTCGCAGGGTTATGTTTTGGTGGTTTGATAACCGAAATGGTATAGTGTTTTCCAACGCAATAATAGGCCTACAATCGAATGCCAAAGATCTGGTAGAGGGACTAAAAAATAATGATGCATAAAGAGAGAGAGAGAGAGAGAGAGAGAGAGAGAGAGAGAGAGAGAGAGAGAGGGAGAGAGAGGGAGAGAGATTCCTGTATTGACAGACTCTTAGTCAATAAACAAAATGCAAACACTTTTACGCTTACAATTTGTATAGTAATCACGATTTAGAAGCAGTAAACCAGGTAAAGCTGACTGCTGACCAGCATTTGTAAGGAAACTCGACCACATGCGTTTCGATCCGTTTTCTCTGTCTCGAATAGTTGACATTAGCTACGAAATAAGACGTTGGACGTTTACAAAACTCATTATCAACGTTTGATTTCATAGCTGAACGACGAAAAAAATGATCGAAACTAGGCGAAAATAAGTTCATATCCTAAATTCTATCTCACATCTTCCATGATAATAAATTATTGCTGTATGTTTTTTGATGGTCATTGCTTTAGAAGTATCGGAATAAACGACGTAATAATCCTCTGCAGCTCAATAGATTTAGTGATTATCAGAAAGTTGGTTCAATCTGATTACCAGAGAGGGATGACGTTTTCACCTGAATATTTTTGTCGCTAATTGTTTCTAATTCTTTTTGTATCTATTTATTTGGATGTAATTGTTTCTTGAATATATTCGTAGGGTACTGGCTATTTACTACTCACCTGATTCTCTTATGTATATTCGTTTGCTTTGGCTAATACGTTTTCATTTTTAAGTTGCTCGGTAGTCAGTCATTTGCGAAGCCTCTTCACCGTTGCTGCGCTTCCCTTGTAGCTGGCCGGCTACCACGCCTTATCGAAGGCAGCATCTTGATGAGACATCGGCATTTTATCCGTCGATGTGGACCTCAATCCGGCGATTGGGCAATTGTAATTTGCATATCTTTCCCATCACAGTGACCCTCTCCTTGGAGAGGCCCTGGGCGCACATGACGATTGATAGATACTCGGCTGGAGAAACACGACAAATACCAGACGTCGCTGCGACCAGTGGCAGTGGTGAGCGGAACGGCAGTGGCTCTGAGCAGCATGCGAATCGACGCTTGGCGGCCGGTCGCAGAGAGAACTGCAGGGGCTGAGAGTGTCACTCCTGATGGACTGTGATGCCTGTGACGTAGTTAACTTTTCACTTCAAGTCTCTCTGAGTAGAAATGTCCTTAGCATCTCTGCATACTAGTACTAAATTATTAGGTTGCGACGAAACAATGCTGATGAACGTTGACATATACACATTAGGTACACATAACACAGTGAACACGTCAACAAAGGTAATTACCTCAAAATCAGACTACAAAAGTTAGCAATGACCGTGTAGACAAGCTTTTTATTTGCAATATCCCTTGGTATCGATGGCACCATTTTTTTTTTTCAGATAGATTAGAGAAGCGTACTGCATGGCTGCATTTTATCGGGCCCTGCCATAGAAGTGCAACCTACGAAGTGTTCATTTTCTGGTTTGTTAGTGTTGAATATTGGGCCTACCTTTTCAGTTTATAGATGGACACATCACCGTGCTCGGTGCGTTATTCATTATTCACACATATTTTAGGCAATCATGCGAATTAGGCTGTGCAGCTAAATCCTCTAAAAACAATATTTTATTTAGAAAAAGAGGTGCTCTAGCACAACCACTCACTGTGTGTCGTTTGAAACATGGAATACCTACCTGGGCATGGAAAGACGAACACTGAGTCATGCGGTCACGATAAGTAATTCTCGAAAATTCCAGTGACGTATTTGTGAAGAAACTGGTAGGTAGTGAGATCATACCTTAAGGGTTAAGACCGACTAAAACCATGCAGTCATGCTATTAACATAAAGTTAATTGGACACCAAGTAGAAGTTTCTAATCCATCTAAATATTGCCTGAGTTATTCGATAATTGAGACCGTTATGCGAGCGGTCCAAAACAGTATTTAGTACGACGCTCACCTACACGACGAATTCCTTGGCTCAAAGTTACGTGTGTGCGACGTCACCGTCCAAACTAGGTCACGTATACATGTGTCTATCAACCCAATTCATGCGTCATCTCATGTGAGCATTTGCCTATCCACATAAAAAGTCAGCAAAAAAATTACATCAAGCACACAAAAAATGCATGCACCCGAGAGCCCAGCCTATCTAAATGCCCCCTTCAAATCGATTCCTTGAATGATTCTGCCTATTTATCCCATATTTGCCGGAGACTGTAATCAGAACTGGCTCTATCACTGCTCTCAGCAGCGGTGCAGTGTTCACGCCGGCCAACTCTCCTGGGTCGGTCCGGCCGCCGCTCCACTCGGGCTCCGCCGCTCCCCGTGCCGGGACCGGCCAGTCTCCTATCTCAGTCGGAATCTCAGTGCTCGGCTCGGCTCGGTGGCGAAACGGCTGGTCGGCCGGCCGGCCGGCGCGCGCGCGGTGAAAGGCGCCGAACCTAAGGGGACCTCGTGCGTCCTTGACTGGTGGATGGCATCAAACGCTCGGCCCAGACGTCCAGCCGACCGACCAGCGCTGCTCGGGGCTGTGCCAGCGCGCCGCCTGGCAGAGCTCACACCCTCCACCCATCGCGTGAGGCGAGCACCCTCTCCTCGCGCTCAGCTCCCTCGCCGCGCCGGGGCGGAGCCCACACCGGCCACTATTGTCCGAACAGTGGCGCCGGCTCTACGTCACTCATTCTGACGTCACACAGACAATGGGTGTGACGTCACGCAGCCACATTGTGCCTAGCGATGGCTGCGCTGCGGACAACTTCTCGGGAACTGAAACGCCCATTTACCTTGGAGTTACACACTTTCTATCAGAGTACGAAATCGGTCTTCTGGGCCGTCGTGCGATTTCCGCGTGCGCCAGAGAATGTAGTTTTGTGGGTTTGGAGTTTGTGGTGGCAAGGTCACCTGGTCCCGCCCCGGTCCTCTCGGGTGTCCTCGATTGTGCCAGAAGCTGATAATCCGGGGATAGGCATTATTCCGCCTGGAGATAGCGTAAGAAGCTGCGTGTGACGGAATACCCCAGAAGGCCGCCGTTTTTGCGTCACGTTAGTTTAGCGGCCATTCTGGAATTATAAAAGAACAGAGATTATCCTGATCCGGTGATCAATATTCCAGAAGCATCAACAAGTGGTCATGCTAGACATTGATTGACTATTCTGAAATACCAGCATAGCCCACGGAGTTACACAAGACAAGACATGCAATGCAATATAATACTGTTCATTTTGTTGGTAAAATAACTGATCAGAGGCCTCCGACCTTGTCCCACACAAAAAGCGTAACCTTACTTTTGCCATAATAAATCAACGAAAATGATGAAACCGCAGAAACGTGATAAGTTATCAGAGATTCATAATATGCACAGGAACTTTTTAATGCGGGCAAACAAAGAATTTATCCGTGTGACATTTAGCATTTGGCATTCCACTCTGCCTCTCATGGTCCCCTCTAGTGATGTCAATTACGGAAAATCGGAATACCGATACCAAACCAAATACCAACCAAAACCGTGGAGAAATACCGAAACCAAACCAACTTGGAAACATGAGGAAAATACCAACTTTTTACCGATTTCTTGCCTCTTAAACATTAGCGACGGTTCATGATACCAACAAAATACCAAACACATTAGGATTGAAATACCAAATACCGAGTTGGTATCGGTTTGGTATCGGTATACCAAAAAGTTGGTATCCGATTGACATCTCTAGTCCCCTCTGAAAACAACCTGGTGTAGATGGAGAATGCGGCTAACAAGGTCTCGCGCAGGGTCTGTGAAACGGTTCGACTCTTCGCCGATGCTCATGGGAGCTCAGCTCAGCCCACCCATACCCGTTGCTGGTGCGAGACAGCGATCGCCTCCCCCGTATGCGATACAAGCGAGTGTGGACACTAGAATTTCCAGCGGCACTGGGAAGGCACCGGGGAGAACCTGATCGGAATGCCCCAGTGCCCCACAAAGCTGGAATTTCATGTGGACAACATCAACGGAATGAATCGGCTTCATCACAAAGACGAGTGTGTGGAGAGGAATAGTACCTCTTCAGTATCATAGTTTCATATTCGCTATGATCTCATAGTCTCGGCGTAACAGCATTCAAAAATATCACATGATACTGAATGAATTTACCGATTAATTGACCCAAGTTTGTACTACTCACTCCTATTTTTTTATGAGGAGCGTCGATGTTTACGTTCCGAACGATGCATATTGAAAAAAAAATGGAAAGTACTTCAATTCGTGTATTTTTTTTCTCACCATTGTCGCCAAGAATTGAGCGAGGTGCTCACCAGCCACTTTGTTTCTAGTTAATGGCAAGGAAACAAATGTTTTATAGCGTTTTAGCATGCAAGAGTAGGTACTCTAAAACGTTCTACAGCATTCCAATGGACAGCTGACTTTTGTGGATTATTGCAGACAAAACGACGTAAAACAAGTTAATCTCTTTCTAAAACTAGAGTCAGGCCTCCACTCGGTCTGTTCATACAATGTAGAATACAAAGCTGCCCAGGA